CCCTTACCCCTTCCCTCACTCCTTCCCTTCCATGGCATGTGACTAACCTCTACCCTCTCCTGTTACATTGCCAGGGGACGAACGGAAAAGAACTTGGTCCTCACTAAGGTCAGCCTGACAAGACTCTCACCCAGCCTGATGGACCTAGAATTTCGGGGAACGGTGGAAGCTCGAGGATGGGTCTACGTATCTCAGGAAATGGAAAATGCAATGGTAGTGGGACTAGTATTGGGCACGACACCATATCAGTTGTTTAAGCAAGCGGAACGGGAAGTGGTATGGGCGGCATGTCAGCGGGCGGAAATGGAAATGGACAAGATAGATGGGCGAGTGGAGCTCGGGGACAGGGGGAATATGAGACGGCCCCTTAGGACAATGAGGTGTATGTTACCTCCGTTTTTGGTGGATGCGGTCTTTGGGACCAGGGATAGACTGGAGCGGATATGCCGGTCGATGACGCGCTTGACATTGTACCAGTGCGCTCGACAGAATTTCTTTAGGTTGTCGGTGGAAGTGGGGCCGTTTGAGGGGAACTGGGCAGAGTAGCACGGAGGGCAGGGATGCCATAATCCGCCGAGAGGTAGCGGCGAGACCGTGCTACGTGGATGATATGTTCAAATTGTTTGAGGTACTATGGTTTGATTAAGAGCAGAAAAAACTGCGGGGCCAGACAAGCATGGGGAAATTGCTAAGATAAGGGAATGGGATGTAGAGGGTGGAGTAAGGAGACATTGTAGGGTTCATTGCGAACTGCGAAGTAAGGAGACCAAGAGCAGGCATGCAATGGCACGAAGAAGGACGTTTCTTTAAGATCGCCCCTAGGCATTGAGCCACCTAGGGAAGTAGAGGGTGGAGTAGAAGTTAGTCTGTCGGCCGCAAATGAGGGTTGGCACCCGGTGGTGGACTGGGTCGGAGTTGAACTTATGGAAAACATGGTTTACTTGGTGACGAAAGTTGAGTGGCATGCGGACGAGAATGGGGAGTGGAACCCGGACCCGCGGGGGCATGTGGGTGCAGAAGGACGACTGTATGTGTCGGAAAATGGGTGGAGGGAGTTCGGAGTTCGGAGTTCGGAGTTCGGAGTCCGGCTGGCATCTGGAGAAGGCCCGTTGAGCATGTTTGAAGGGGCGTGGCAGTTAGTGTTGCGAGCGGGATTTGAGTTCGCAGATCCGGGGGTTGACGATGTAACAGCGGACCTTAGGGTAGCCATGGCCGGGAGTTTTGAATTGCCTAGTGAAAATGTACGAACGAGGCTGCCACCCTTCCTGCTGGAAAGGCTGGGCGGGCTGGGACTTGTTAGACAGGCGGTAGCCGACCTCGCAAGCCTGACATATGAAAATGCAATAGTACAAGAGAATACTATCGGGCCTTCTTAGAAATGGGTCCGTTCAGTGGAGAGCAAAAGTATGAGGTGCTGCGCATCCTGCGCGCTGTGTTTAGCACCAGGCCGAGGGCTCCGGTCGTGGGAAGTGGGGTCCTGTGGGGTGTCGTCCGACGGGAAATAAGTCAAGGGATGGTGTACGTGGATGATCTGCACCGATTGTATGAGCTGATGGACATAGGAACGGGCCAATAAAAGAGGTCAAGGAAAGAAAAGGAAGGTTCAAGCTAGAGATCGGGGAGTGTTCGGGCGGGAGATGAAGATTAAATGAAATAAGTAAAACCGCTTGCTGTTTCAACTGTGCAGGGGACTACTAAGTCAAAAATGGCGATGAGACGCGCCCGAATGTTGCAACAGTCCACACACCCGCGACCACCCACGGAAAGTGGAGGCGGATGGGAGGTATCTCTCCCAGCAAGCTACGGATCCGGGGGTTGACGATGTAACAGCGAACTCGGGTGGAGGTCAGAGACTGGCAAAAATTCAAGGCCCCAATGACCGGGTTGAGATGTCGAGTACCTCGTTTTATGGTGGACTTGGTATTCGGTAGCCTCAAGAGAGTTAGGGACCTGGTGGATTCGACTCTGGTTTGGATCCACCATTTCCGTCCACAGACAACAAGAATGTTTTACAACGTGTCGGTCAAGCATGGACCGTTCTGGGGAAATCAGGCCTGGGAATTGCTTGACCTCATTGAAATCCTGATATTCGATTTGCCTCGCTTAGCATTTGGCGAATTCGAGTCGATAATCGTCAGGGAAATAGAGATGGGAGAAAACTACCTTGCGGGAGTGGCTGACCTGTTCGAAGAACCGGACGAGCAAGGCAGGCCTGAGGAACCAGCATGAGAAAACACGTCGGGAAAAGATAGGGAAAATAAGGGACGGGTACTAAGATAAGAAGGCAGCTATCACCAAAAAAGGGGGGGGAACTGGTTGGAGTTCCGTCCGAACCGATAGCACGGCAAGGAGGAACCAAGAAGACCACCCGCACCATAAAACTCAGGGGCATTTGGAGGTCGAAAAGCCAAAAGGGTCATCCTTGATAAGGAGGCCACTGGGCTCAGACACCACCCTAAGAGCCAAAGCGCGGCAGTAATAAAATGCCAAGCAGTGACGGCAAAGTTCCCCGACGGTAGAAAACCTGAAGGACGCCCTGGGAAATAAAAGTCAGGAGAGTCTGACCGATTAATGTAAGACGCCGAAAAACATGGGAATAGGCGGGTTTTAGGGCTGGGACTAGGGTAGTTAATGAACAACCGACCATTTTTCGCAAAAAAAGTTTTCCATGTGCAGGCTAGGTAAAGAAATGGCGACTGAGGAAGAGATCGATGACCAGCAGAGCAGAGGGAATTAGGGCACGAATGGGGATGGGGAACGAAACGAGGGATCAGCGAGGGATCGAGAGTCAGCCAAACTGGAAGGAACTCGAGAAGACGGAAAGGACGTCTCAACTGGAGAAAGCTCGGAGAAAGCTGGGGGTAGCAAAAGGGGACCTTAGGAAAATAGGGAAGGAGGAAACGATATGAGAACAAGCCATCGGAACTCAGCAGGAGCCATCCCTAAAAAGACAAAAGTCTCGGATGCCAGTCGTAAATTGGCAGAGATAGAAAAGCGGACCGCAGAATTTAAGGCAAGGCTTATCGAGCAGATGATGACCGAGGATGAGGAGAACCCCCAGGGCGCAGGGTCACGTGAGGGACGCAGGACCGGTCAGGACGAGGCCAGGTATGAGGGAAAGGATAATAGCCACAAGGGAACGCCTAGCAAGAAGGGGAAGGACAAGAACGAACCCCCGACGGAAGGGACGGAAAACGCTATGACCCCGCCTGCTATCAACAGCGGCACTAGCCAACTGCCAGCCTCGCCGAAAGTAACAGGGGGGTGCGACGGACTTTGGAGCCTTAGGGAAATGGTGCTAGAATGGTTTGACCCAGAAGGAACGCCAAAAACTAGGGAGAAGCAGAAGGAAAGCAAGGAAGGGGAAGGGATCAGTGCAGCTGGAGAAGCGGGTAGCTCCGAAGGTGGTCTCAAGAGGATAGTCACCACCCTCACACGGGCACTAAACAAGAACCAGGGATATCTCGCAGATGCAAAGAAGAAACTCACATTCGATGGGGCAAACATTACGGAGTTTCTGATAGACTGTGAGAACCTAGCAGCCTTACTGAAATGGACGGAAGAGGAAAAGATGGAGCACCTAGGGCACCACGTGTCGCTAAGTTTGGGAAGGGACATTATGACCATCGTCGCCTCAAGTGGATCCTGGAAAGAAACCAGGAATCTGATGATGAGGAAATACCTGAAGGCAGAGAAAATGACAACAGAGGCTGAATTAGCCGCAGTCCAGAGGAAAAACTATGCGACTTACAACGATTTCCTGAGGGCATTTACGTTAGTGGCTCTGCGAATTCCCGGGGTAACGGATCGCATAATGAGTAAATACTTCCTCAGACAATTCTCCAAGTTCGATAAGGATAAGATTTTGTCAGCATACCAGCAGACCAGTAAGTTCGAGTACACGAGAGATGTGGACTTCAGCACCGTAACAGACCTTGCGGAAAAGACAGTGGTCACCGAGACACTAGCCCTGCTTAAGGAAGGGGAGGTCATAGATCTGACCGGGAAAACAAGAGATAAGGTTAAGAAAGGGATAGAAAGTTTGCACGAGCGAGTGCATGGGGTTGACAGAAAGATGGAAAAAATGGAAAATGTGTTGTTAGTAATGCAGGCACAAGTGTCCAGACCCGCCCTCCCGCCCCAAGAGGCCGTAGTTCCGGCAGTTTTAGCAAACCGGGGATTTGGCAGAAGGGACCCGACCAATGAACAATGCAAGTATTGCACCTTGATCGGGCATTTCGTACGGGCCTGACCGAGACTCAATCACCATATCGAGCGGCAGAGGTGCAGCAGGTCCCTCAAAGGCGAGATCCTCGGACCCAGGGGGAAGCGTGTCAATTGGAACTCGCCAGGAGGGATGCGGCGAGCCGTCATCCTCTTGAATAACTTAGAGATAGTTGCCGTAGAAGCGGAGCCGATAGCTGAGATTGTCTGGGACCAGCCAAGGGGACGGGGACCACAGGCCAATTTTATCATAGAAGGCAATGGGCAGGATAGGGTAAATGTCACTACCCGACGGGCTGGAGCGGAAAAGAAGCTCATTCGAGACACAATAATGGAAGAAGCCGCGGGGGCTAGTGTAGATCAAGAGGAAGCTGAGGCCGGGGAAAAGGAGAAGGTCTATGGAAAAACGAGGGAAGAGGAATCGGTAGATAAAGCCACGGCGGCAAAAAAGAAGTTCAGATACCAGATCCCAATTCTGACGCTGCCCGAACTGGATGACACGCTGAGCAAACTTCCGGGCACCATGGTGTCGGTATCCTTCCAGACCATGCTGCAGGCAAGCCCGAGACTGCTCAAGGGCCTCTGGCAGCTATTGACGAGTAAACGTGTAAAAGTAGAGGAGGCCCCGGAACCACAGGAACAGGGAACTGAGGAGGCCGAGGTGCCACAAGGAGTCTCTAACCTCCAAACCATCCTAGGGGGCCTGGAAGATTTGGAAAAAGCCTTTGCTGATATCCGTCTGAACCTGCCAGACCGAGAAGGTGGCTAAGTCATGAGAGCACCGTCTGGCACTAAACTTAGCTTTCACGCACTACCCATAGGAAAACTTAAAATCCAGATCGGAACTCACCACACCGATGCATTAGTGGATGGCGGTGCGAAAATTACCCTCATACGACGGGATTTCGCAACAATCACAGTGTGCACAGTAAACAAGGAAGTAGCAGGGAGTATCAGGGGAGCAGGCGGAGAAATCCCCTTCACTGGGTACGTCACCAAATGCGCGGTCAGGGGAGGAATCCGATAATCCATCTGGTCTTTCCAACGGATGACCGTCATGGAAGAAATGGACCATGACATAATCCTTGGGAGACGATGGTGCGCCAGTGTAGAAATGATTGGCATGCACTTGCATGACGACACGTACATGGTAGACATAGAGGATCCAGTGACAGGTCGCGGGGAACTCCTCCGACTCCTCGGAACTGGAGGGGACCCTCCGAAGGGCAAATTGGCAACCTGGTCGCCAACATTCGAAGAAAGTGCACGGAAGGTGGCATTCGGACGAATGAAAGGTATAAGAGAAAGAGTAGAAATCATGATTGAGGAAGCTTTTAGCAAGGAGTGGATCAAGATGGGTCTACCCATGAAGAAGAGGAGGCAAAGGGATGAGGCCCTGGAAGTTATGGTGGCAGAAAAAGAGTCCGAAGTCGAACTTGGGGTCAGCCTGCCCAAACCAAAGGAAGGCCGGAACGAAACGTCAGAGGTGGTGCTTGAAATCCCAGGTTTGTTACAACTCGTTAAGGCCATCAGATACCACAAAGTGGGGGTGGACCCGCAACGCTTGCTACATTTGAGGATGGGGTCCGAAAGGGCTACTGTCTGAATGGAAAGCTAGTCAGCATCCAGCCCCGCGTCTTGGAGGTAACAAGGCCGATCCCGACCGTTCATTTTTTAGGAGAACGATCCCAGAGGACAGTGTGCAGAAATACAAATCCGTAGGGAAGAAGGCCACGCCGGTCTCGATCCAAGAGGAGATCCTACGGGTTATAAGAGAGAGACGCGCAACGGAAGGTCATCGCATACCAGATGACGTAGCAGATACCATGAAAATGGGAGTGGAAGGGTTCCTAACACCGGAAGAAGCTCAGTTGATAAGAAAGGCATATCAGAAGTTTCATCTAGCTTTCGCTTTCAACGATCATCAGAAAGGGCGATTGGACGCAAAGCTAGTTCCCCCTGTCAGGATCCACACCGTACAGCAGGAGTGTTGGAATGATAAAGGGTCTGCCTACGAGTTTGGGATAGCAGCGGAAGTCACTGATCTGCTTAGGGCTAAGATAGATTCGTTTGTGGTTGAGCCCACCGCATCCCCCTATGCGAACAAGTGGTTCGTTTTCCGGAAGCCCAACAAGACGCTCAGGTGGATCCAGGATTTGCAGAAGCTCAATGCGGTAACAATTAGGGATGCAGGCTCGCTCCCACAGGCGAACTTGCTTGCCGAATCTCAAGTCGGGCGGAGCATTTACTCCCTGATAGACCTGTACTGAGGTTACGACCAGTTGCCACTTGATGCGAGGGATGGACCGTATACAACAATGCACACCCCCGTAGGCTGTGTGTCCGATTTTGGATTCAACGCGGGTTCCGCGTTGAATTATTGAACGCGCGTTGAATTCGCGTTCAACGCCCGCTCAAACGCGCGTTGGACGAGGAAAAACGGGGTCTGCAATGATCTTTTTCCTATGCAAAACGTAATCGAAAAAAAAACAAAAAATATGGGGTCGTAGATCTTTTCGAGGTCTACGATCCCATATTTTTATTTTTATTTTTTGAGCTTTTAATATATTTTAAAAAAAATCAAAAACGTAAGCACAATGAAAAAAACAAAAACAAGAAATGACATGTCTTTTTTTTTTGGGTTTCACAAAGATTTTTTAAGGGCTAAAAAAAAAACAGAAAAAAAAAACAAAAAATATAGGGTTGTAGATCTTTCAAAGATGTACAACAAAATATTTTGTTTTGTTTTTTTTATAACTTCGTGTATTTTTAAAAATATCAAAACCATAAACAACATTTTTTTTGGCCTGCATTGCTTAGGTAATCTTGTTGGGTAGACTCCCTGATTTGGCCTGCTTCGTTCACTGTTGTTGCAACCACCACCATCAGATCATTTGTGATATGATGGCTGGGAAGTACTGTGTTGTGATTTCCAGTGGGAGGTCTCTGATTTTTTTTTGTTTTTTTTTGCCTTTCTCCTGTTTTCTCAGCCCAGAAACTCGTAATGAACCTGTCAGGTCGCTGCCACTCAGTGTCACACTGGATCGGCCACACTCCAATCCGTCTGCTAATGGGACCATGCCCCTGGGGCGACGTCCCATTAGCAGTCAGATAGGAGTGTGGCCGATCCAGTGTGACACTGAGTGGCAGCGGCCAGACAGGTTCATTACGAATTTCTGGGCTGAGAAACAGGAAAAAGGCCAAAAAACAAAGAAGAAACAGAGACCTGCCACCTGAAATCACGGCAGAGTGCTTCCCAGCCCTCATATCACAAATGATCTGATGGTGGTGGTTGCAAAAACAGTGAACGAAGTAACCGTCATATTTTCTTGGAACAAAATTGACTTCTGTCAGAAGTGATCCTGACACCCTCCATATACCCCGTGATTGAAGAAGGGTTGCACCCAATGAGATAATTGCACAACAACAAGTAAAATGTTGAATATCTTCTATCCAGTGGGCTACAGCCGACCCCAACCTCATTTGGGGTTGGCCACACCCCCAACGGATTGAAAAGATTCAAGCGGGAAGCTTTCTTTGCACTGACCGTGGGATCACGAGTACTGCATGGCAGGATTTGGGTCACTCAACTTCCCCACAAACTCGTTTCTAGCCTATCCCGTTGCTAGTGGGACCTGGCCCCTGGTGCTTGTCATTGCTATCTGGTCGAAGTTGCCCTCAATACTGGTAGGGTGATGGTCCTGAGTGCTGGTCACACTGAGGTAGGATAGTAGGGACAGGGGGTCTAGTCCTTGGCCTCTACAAGACCTTGGGCTTTCAAAAAAAAAAAAAAAAAAAAAAGAATAGATCTTCTGCTAGAACGTGGAATAATGCATNAAAAAAAAAAAAAAGAATAGATCTTCTGCTAGAACGTGGAATAATGCATCGCCATATGTTTTGTCTTCTGTGCATGTGGTGAGTAGAAGCCCTTAGGGCCACTGCACGTATTCCTCAAAAAAGAAAAACGAGAAAAAACAGAAGAAAAATCAGAAAACAAAAGAAAAACGGGAAAACAAAAGAAAGAAGAGAAACACAAAAAAAACGAGATAACAGAGAATTAGTGACCCATAACTTTGCTGCACAGACTGCCACAGACCTGAATTCGAATCCAGACTATATATTCTCAGGCCACAAAGGCAGTCTCCAAGTCTTTGCTGCACGAAGGGTCCTTGCTAATACGTAGGGACCCTTCGGAATGAGACTGTACGACCAGATTGCAGCAGTTGTAAAAAAATAAAATAAAAAAAAAGGAGGACCTGCACCCTCATCCACACACATGTGCTCACAGTCTTGGGGTATGGGGTGGCCCTTACTTTTTACCCTCTTGCAGTTTGAATTTCGGGAGGGAGGGGAATGTTTGGCCACCCCACCCTGTTAGTAGGGGTCTTTTTTCTTTTTTTTTTTCTTTTTTTTAGTTTTTGGGCGCGAAGGGCCACGTGTCCGAGGCCCACCGCGCTGGTTCCGTTTTTCAAAATTGAATGGAACACCCCCGTTTTCGCGTTAAACGCGATTTAACGGGGCCCCCGGGCCCTTTGAACGGGTTCAACGGCGTTGAATTTCGCCCGTTCTCTGTTCATAGGGCACACAACCCGTGGGGCAGTTGCAGATGCAAGTGACCCCTATGGGATTCACAAATGCGGTAGCAGAGGCGCAGAGGAGGATGCTCGCCGTCGCAGGGGATATGTTTCCGGAAAAGTGTGAACCTTATATAGATGATAACCCCGTAAAAGGCGCAAGGTCCAAGGACGAGGCGGAGGTCCAACCGGGCATACGGAAGTTTGTTTGGGACCACTTGCAGGATATTAAGAACTTGCTCCAGCGATTCTTACTTTACAATATTACTGCAAGCGGACCCAAGAGCATCCTGGCCGTCCCGGAAGTAACCATACTAGGGTTTCGCTTTGGGGCCTATGGGAGGAAACCTGACCCAGCAAAGACTGATAAGATCTCCCAATGGCCAACACCCCTGCGCACCACGACGGAAGTACGAGCCTTCCTAGGGGTGGTCGGATTCTGGAGGATCTTCATCAAAGGATTTGCCAAGATAGTTGAACCAATCCGTGCAATAATCAGGGAAGGGGGTACTATGGAGTGGACCGAGGATAGGGAAGCGGCAACACAGACCCTCAAAGATATCCTGTCGTCCGATCAGGTTATCTTAGCAGCACCCTACTTCAATGACGAAGTAGGACGGCCCTTCATCCTAGAGACAGATGGCGGCCCAATGGCAGTAGGGGGCGTATTGATACAGAAAAGCGAGGAAGGCAAGGAAAGACCAATCAGATTTGAAAGTAGGACCCTGAATTCGGCGGAACGGCGGTACTCACAGTTCAAGAAGGAGGTCTTAGCGATCCTGCATTGCCTTAAGACCTTCCAGGCATACCTGTTTGGAAGGCGATTTATCCTAAGGATCGATCCCACCAACGTCGCCGGGGCTCTAAAGAATTACAAACCTATAGATCCGACCGTCGGCAGATGGATAGGCTTCATATGGCAATTTGACTATAAGGTCGAGCGAATTGTGGGGCTTCGAAACAGGGCAGATGGGCTGAGCAGAGTATGTATCACGCCAGAGGGAGTAGAGGACGCGGAACCAATTGACGCCTTCCTAGAATACGAAAGGGGGACCCTTGTTGTAGATAACGAAATGGCAGACTCAGCGCTTACAACAGGTCAGTTGTTGATTCAGACCTTGGAAAAGGGCACGCCTGCAGTAGTCGCAGAACTTAGGGAAGGATCAGTCACCACAGTCAGGTGCAAAGAGGAAAAGGACTCGTGGGAAGCAGAAGTAGGGGCCAGAGAGGAACTGATGGCAATGGCCGTAGAAGTGGGACGG